GGCGACAGGACGATGGTTGGACTGATAAGTTTTTTCGGGCGGGCGGGCGGGGCGACCGGAGAAAAAAAACAATACATATTCGTATATGTACACACTCCGGGCGGGCGAGTGGGCGGGCGGTCTCTTTTTCAAATTACGCCCATCATGCCCTTCGTTATGAAGGGGTATCGGACAATCTTGGCCGTGCTTGTGTTGGGGGGGGGGGTCTACCGAAGCAAAAGTGTACAAACAAACGTCATGTGTAGGTTAGTTTGATGTGTTATGCCCACCCTAATTAATTTCCTACTTAAAGTTGTATGTCTCGTGCCTTTATGAAAATGTTTTTTTATCCTGGACTTGATGTTGCAAGACTTCCTCGCAAGTTTTTTTTTATTTACATTTTTTGCTTTCTTTTGGTGAAAAGGACAGTAGATCAATCCATCAAAAGATGAGTGGTAGTACCCTCCGCTTGGCCCTTGGAGATTTATCCAAGTGTTAAGCCTGTGTGCTATTTTCATGAATATCGAACATAACACATATATTCTGCCTTTGGATTTCTGAATGGAGTTTTCATGAATATTCAAGTGTTGACCAACAATGGAGTCTTTGAGAATCAAATGGACATGCAGAGGAACTGAGGCAATTGTGTTGCTCTAGCTATACTTTCCAGTATTGAAGGTGTTAATAACAGTGCAGTATCTGTGTTAGGCAACAAGTTGGGTGGTTTATCGCCGCCTGCAAAGCGAAAGGAGACATACGGACATGGTTTCCCAATATTTGTTGCGGCATGATCACAAAAAGGACTACCTGCCCAGAAAAAAGGTGATTTTCCGACACAACCTCTAGACCTGGGCGGTGCGAAAATTGTGGGATCGAGGAGCACCATAGGAACAATTGTATTGACGCTGCAAAATTCAGGTTGGCGGGGGGTAACTGACAGTTTGTTAACTGGTATAGTTGCTAGTAGTGATGAGTTTTTGTTTAGATATGGCTTGTGGGGGTAACGAGATATGATGGGGTGCAACTTCATCTTCTTGGATAATACTTGTAGAATTTGGATTTATATGGCAATTCGGTGAGTTATGCTATTCTCTAATAATAACAGTACGTTCTCGTTGTGTTGTGCCATTGTGTACTGACAGTTTGAAATCCATGTGTAGCACTAATTACTTAAGAAGCGGGACACACAATTTGAAATCCATATAAGCTGACAAGTGACAACTAATTTATTTTTCTTGATTTAATGGAGCATATGTGGTGGGCAATCCGTAGTCAGTTACTGAACTATAGCTAAGGTGTGTGTGTTCAGACATGGGGTAAATTTCAGTTATATGTGGCAAAAAATTTCCGTTGAAATCATGTGGCATCTTCTTCATGGTTTCATACCAGGCTCGGGTTTTAAAATTTGAATGTCCTCCATGGGAAATGTGAACTTTCATCTATGCAAAGGACTGAAAGTTGAGTTTGTGGTCACTCGAAGCCATGGCTCCCGCCGACACCTACATCATCAGTTCAGTGATTTCGGTGGAGAGTACAAATTCAATTCAAGTCAGGGTCCAGCGAGGAGGTAAGTAACTTTCTCATTAGTTGGCTTTGTGTGTGGGCGGGGGCATTGCCCCCCATGAAGCTCCGCCGCTACATTTTTTTTTTTGAGGGACGCTCCGCCGCTACATGTGTCGCCTTGTTGTGCGTTCAAGTTCATCGAGTTCTGCCAGTGGGCTCTCGGGCCATATGTCACGTGGCAAGCCGCGCTGTCTTTGTCCGGGCCGTCAAGTGCCTTTTTTTGTGCTGAGTAACCCACTTAGACTTAGGTCTCAACAAAGTGTTTGCTGAGCCCCCGCCAGTTGACTCTCGACAAAATTGCCTTACTTGAAGGGCTCAGTCCGAGTACCCTTAGCCAAGATTTGAACTCGGCAAATTCTCTGTCGAGTTAGAATCGGCTTTTGCCGAGTTTTTCAGGCACTCGGAGAACCTGGAAATTGCAGCAGTGTTTAATTGTGCGTTCAAAAGAAGTTAACATATACTATGTAAGAGTTAAAGAAAACCCGGATCCTGGCCGACTTTACTGTAAGGGTGTGGCTAGGTTTCAGTCGACTGTGATTTAATCAAGTCTCAGTCAAGTGACATAACATGCAAGAGAAAAAAGAAAAGAAAATCTTACACTGATCTAAATGCAAGATCTCATGGATATAGTATCGGCTGAGACTTAACGAAGACTCCATCGACCGAGACTTAGCAAGACTGTTAAAAGGTAGGTATTTTGTCAAGACTATGCACGGGGTGCATGGCTCATGAAACGGCGAGTGCTAGTTGGTAGAGAGGGTTCATCCCTTTTAATTTGTAGGAGAAGAAGTACATGCACGACTATGGCTGCAACGAACGACGACACAAGGAGTATAGGGCACTCGGGCGGCTGCCCAAAAACGCAACGCGGCATCCGGCTGACCAAACAAACGTACAAACGTATGCCCATCCCATCCCATCCCAGAGAAAAGAAAACGTAAGTTGTGTGCATAGTCTGACTATCACTTGAGGAAGGAAGGAAGGAAGGGAAAGAAGAAGGGAAGCGCTCTGGGGCCCCGATCGACCGGCACTCTGCACAGCCGACCCAACCGTCGCTTCTTCACATGCATTCCTCTTGTCATCTACTCCGCTGCAGTCCAGTCCAGCACTCATCTTCTTCATAACAGAGCGACTGATATGAGCCAGCGAGCACTCTCTCTGAGTCTGAGTTACCGTGCTCCGTGCGTGCGGTGCGGGACTTGGATTCCTCGCCGCGCGCCATGGCGACGCCCACGGCTTCGTCCCCGTCATCCTCGACCACCACAACTCCACCTGGAAGGTCTGCTTCCGCCTCTACGGCCTCCTCGACCACGTCGTTGCCGACGCACACGCGAGACGCTCCGACGATGACGCCAAGTGGCGCGCCATCGGCCTCCTCGACCACATCGTTGCCGACGCACACGCGAGACGCTCCGACAATGACGCCAAGTGGCGCGCCATCGACCTCCTCGTCCTCCGGTGGCTCCGCGCCATCATCTCGCGGGGCATCCACGGCCTCGTCGCCCGTGAGCGTGAGCGTGACGACCGCACCGCCCTCTTCCACGACAACCAGCTGGAGCAGGCATGTGCTTGCTTGCTACCCAAAGCGTATCTATCTAGTCAGATACTACTACGTGCCTACCTACACAGATACCACACAACAACAACAACAATAATAATAATCTCCAAAGCAGACACACATCTGACCACCGAACCACATATTTCATCATCAGGTAACTTCTGTCGGTGTCAAAACTTCATTTACGACGATGGTAAAGAATAGAATTCAACGCGACTGACAGCTAGGAAATCTTCTGCAGGTACATGGACTGTTGACTCTCACATATGCAGACAGAGAGGGTTATGGCAGCAGGATACAACTGCAGGTCCATGACCATGTATACCAACCTAAACAGCCAAAACATTTACCAGGAGGACAACAACATCTTGTTGATGAGCAGCTAACCACGGCAACACACAGCATGTCTGACTATGAACAACAACCAACAACATTACACTCCACTCCTTTTGGCTTCACTTCACACATCACATCACATCAGATTGAACCAGGTGGTGGTGGTGGCCCTGCATGCACAATTAAACACAGCAAAGTACAGCAGTCAGTCAGTCAGTGCCTCAGCCTTCCCATTCCCGCATGTAACTATTCATGCAAGGGGATTGCTTAGAGGGGTGCTTGCTTGTAAAAATAAAACCCGTCCTGTTTTCGGTTAAGCACCGCTGCTGGTTTCTATAGCAGACAAGAGGTGCTTAGTAAGTACTCGGCTGCGCTATGCAAATAAGGACCGGTGGCGCTTATGAAAAAACCAACCGCTTCGGTTTTACAAGCACCTTGCACCATTGTACAAGAATTCCTACACCGGATAATCATCACTACGTAAAAAGGACACATGGATGCAACAACAGACCCAGGACCAAACAATCTTCTGCTATCCTCCGATTATATCCATGCATTACCGAATAAATACTGCCAATTTGTTTTTCTTTAAGCGGATTTTAATGATGTCACAAGCGAAACAATCATAGTAGTACTTGTGTTTTAAGGGGAAAAAAGCAAAGCACGTTAGCCCCCTCTTGTGTTTCAGGTACGAACCGAGGTGTGAAATTCAGTGAGAAAAAAGGAAGGCCCTTGTAAAGTCTTTAAAGAGAGAGTCGACGAACCTCTAGGCGCACCACCGCCTTCATTGGGGCCCATCTGCGGTCCAAACATCTGCATCACAGCTCTCAGAGCCTCAGCAGCCTGCTCTGGGCTCACCATGCTCTCCCCAATATTTATGTGGATGCCAGCGTCTGTCTGGGCACCTGGTTCACTGTGCCCTCCTCCATGTCCACCTGAAGCCTGCTGTGCATGGTTTGCTTCGGTGCCTGAGCCCATGAAGGGAAAAGCTGGAGGGACTCCAGCACTGGCTGGGAAAGGAGCTGATGGGGTATGGGTGCCTGGATTCCCGGACGGTGGTCCTTGGGCATTCCCATTGACGTTTGCATGACCAAAGAAGTCGTTCAGATTTATATTTACGGAGTGCGGAGGTGGCTGTTGCCCATTACCAGACCCACGGTTCATCATATTGAAGAATTCAGGAGGAGGTGGAGCACTTCCAGGAGGGAATACTGTGAAAGGAGCACCACTGCTCGCCTGGCCACCAAACCATGAATGAGGTCCATGTGGGTTCTACAAACAAGGAGATGGATTAGTCGGTGATTTTGAGAAGTCCAAGTGAAGAAATTAAATCATACACACGTAGCCAAACAATATCAACATTCTATACATATTAACATATCATGGAGGTTCCAAGTAGGAGCCCTGATCGTGCACATTGTTATAAGAAAAACAACGGTCCTGATTTGTTAAGCCAATGGGATATATTTCATGGTTCATTTCAAAAAGCACATGTAGATTTCTGATTACAGTACCTGTCCTGGTGCAGCTCGCTGTTCAGCCAGCTTCCTTTTGGTGGCCTAAAGTTTTCGATGCAGAGGAAAATAAAAGTTCAATAGTGATTAGTGCTAATAAAAGGAAAACAAACTCTATCCAGATCCCTGCTGGAAAAGAGAAGAGAACAAAACAAGTCTACCTCAATATTCAGTCGAACATTTTCATTGCCAGGCTCAAGTTCAGAGGCTGCAGGAAGAACAAAGTGAGTTCACTGTACACTCCATAATTACTGGATATAACAATGTAGGTTCATCTGAAGATTGCACGTGGAACTGTTAATTTGATTGAGCACAAGATAAAAACAATTATAGCTAAATATTACAATCACTGTCACTGGAATGTGAAGAGAATATATCCAATAAATAAACCAGAATTTACACAGTACTGAATGCAAGCCACCATATCAGATAACATGGCACGAAAAGCAAATATCTGTTCGACTTGATTGGTTGTATGGTAACACTATATATGTATAAATTTAGAGTCACATCAATTTAGTAGGTTGTTGAACAACAGGTCATAACAGAATGATCTACATAAAATACAAAAAAAAACTGTACTTAGGTTAGGTTGGATACTACTGAAGTTAAAATTTAGGAGAAGGCTCAATGTTTCAGCCCAAAATTCAAATAAACAATTCTTACCAAAAGAAGTAGTTAACACTCGACACACAACTGCACCAATAAGAACTTCCATATGCATCTCATAATGTAATACATAGCATTATACATCACTGTTTCAACAAAATAAACTAAAAGTTTCTACTCTACCCACCTTTCAAGTATCCCTTGTGTAAAGCATCATGAAAATTCCCCATTGCAAAATAAGCAGATCCAAGTCGGCTATATGCTTTGCTGTAGTTCGGATCAATTTCAATTGACTTCAGACAGTCCTCAACAGCTTCATTGCACATATTAAGAAGCGTATATGCAGCAGCCCTGAAAGAAGCATGTACTTTTCATGTTACATGAAAGCATGAATAGAATAAATGATCTTGTGAACAGCAATCAAGACTTCAAGAGTACTTGTTATAAGGGTTCATAACACCGCTACCGGAACAAGAATTAGCATAAAGTTCACTCTGGCAACCAGAGACGAAGCCAGGGAAAAAATGGCCAGTGTTCATTCTTCTAAATAGACCGGGGTCACTGCACATGTGTAACAGTACTTTGTCACTACAGAATAGTAGTACAAAATCATTGGTAATCATTTCACACCATAAATGATTTATGCTAGCTTTGCCCCTGCTGGCATAAGAAATCAGCCAGTATCTAAGGGGGATCATTCATTCCATTTCATGAATTCTGAAGTGCCAAGCTTGTTTTCCTAAGCATTCTATAATCTCTAATATCAGATTTCCAGGAGTTTTCTGGTGAAACAGCCCAAGAGATGTAAAGTTTGTAACCAGCTGTAGCTTGGTTTGAAGTGGTTTTCAGAACTCTTAGGGTGTGTTTGGTTCAGGTCATCAAGTGGAATGTAGTACCAGCAGCCAAGATTAGGAATCAATAAGAGACTCATCACCACATCGCAGGCTATATAAGCAGTAGGAATAAGAGTGCGGGAGCAGGAATTTGGGGGCAATGTAGCAATATGCATTTAAACTAGTTTATGCTGACAGGCAGAGTTGATGCTTATAAAGAAGCAGTATTAGATACTTGACTAATTAAGCCATTCAAAAATTCCATTACACGTTACTAATGAAAGATCCATTTTTAAAGTTCCACCCATTCTGATCATCATCTCTGAAATTACTCGGCGAAGTTCAACTTGGTGCGAGATTTCACAATTAGATCCAACAAGCTGCAATTACACATTCATGAGCTACGCGTTTACTAAAACAGTCATCCGAAATTCCAGTAAATTAATGCATACCTGTTACAATAGTAAATGGCATTTTTTCGGCTCAATGCAATGGCACCGGTGTACAGCTCTACAGCTTTTAGGTGTTGTTTTGATCTCATGAAGTCATTGCCTGATGAACAAATATGGAGTTAGCTACTAAAACTCTGCACATCCGCAGAAATAACATAATGCACATAGAAGGCCTGAACTGCAAAGCTCTTTATGACAAAAGAAAAAATAAAGATTTCTAAGTCATGCTATGCGCCTATCTATGTTTTTAAGGCGTCGCCTAAGCGTCGCCTAGTCGTCGCCTAAGCGTCAAGGCGCCCCAGGATGGCAAGGCGTCTACCCCGCCTTAGACAGACATGAAGTGTACGGCTGTGGCTGCCCTAGTTCTGGCTGCTCCTGGGGCTTGGAGATGACGGCCCCGCTGTCTCCCGGCACCATGAAGAGGAGGGAGGACTGGGGGCTCCTGGGGCTTGCTGCTGTGAGGGAGAAGGGTGGGGCCATGAAGAGGAGAGGGGACTGGAGGAGGGAGGGAGGACCAGAAGGGTGTGGCTTCGTGGCGGCTGTGGTGGGAAAGAAGGGAAGGAGATAGTGGAATTAGGTCACGGGGGTGTAAATGGCCACTAGATGGGCTTTTGGGCCACTGGGAGGTGCATAAGTAGTGGCCCATCTCTCAGCCATTCCTCTTTTTCTAGTATTAATATGTGCAGACCTATTAATAACTCTATTCCTGCAATGTTTAAGGCATCGCCTTGCCTCGCCTTACCGCCTCGCCTTGGCGCTTAGGAGTCAGAGCGGCCCTCCTCCGCCTTATGACGCTTTACCGCCTTAAAAACATAGGCGCCTATGCTGTAAATTTGCTCCACAAACTAATGAACGGACAAAAAAGATTGTGACACCAAAACTTACATATGAAACAACCACGGATTCTAGCTAAGTACCTTTTGATTTAAAGAATTCTGCAAGGTCTACTAAGCTTGCCACTTCTCTTCCCGACTTGCGCACCTCCTAAACAGAGATAAACTATACTTTATCACTAACACAATGTAAATAATGAAGTGGAAAAGTAATAGTCTTCCCTTAGGCCTGAAGATGCTAGACAAGCAAATAACAAAAACAACACATCATACCAGTAATGCATCATCGAAGAATTGTGATGCTTTTGAAAGTTGATCAGGATCCTCAGCACCAGCTGGTGATGTCTTGAAGAAATTTATTTCATCAAGCGCGGCAAAGAATTTTGCAAACAGCTCATCTCCTGCATGATCTGACAAAAAAATCAAATGCCCTGAGACAAACTCATTCTTTCTACATCCCTCATTAGGAGATAATGACCCCGAGACCCTACAAATGGAATCAAGTAGCACAATGGCAGCAAAGATTTACAAAAACTTGAAAGTTTCCGACAATGTATGGACAACTCGTTATGGATGGTCTACAGTTTAAGCCATAGTCATACCTAGGTCAAAGGTTTCTTCCGCTTGGCCTTCACTCTGATGAGAAGATGCAGAGAATATATCAAAAGCTCATATCTTATGAAGGGTATTTCCGGAAGAAAATAGTAAAAACTGAGCAAATAAAGCATAATGAATATATCTAATTGATGCGCAATGGCATGCCAATTGAAGAAAAAGGCATGCATTGATATGTATTAATATGAAAAGGATAGGTGATGATGGGAGATATATATATCATATAACATGAAAATCGTGTGACAAATGAGAGGGGGCATACATTTGATGTTGTACATTTATTTGACTCTTCTTGGATACTGGAAGTACTTGCACTGCAGGAAGGTTTGTTTGACACTGATCGTGACACGGGATCTGGTCTTGCCCTATCTTGTTCATTAGCTTGCAGAGAAGTAAAGAGTTCAAGTAGAAGTCCTGGCTGTATCCTCTCGCTAGTTGATGATGAGTTGATGCTAAAAAGGGACTCCAGGCAATCCTTAGCGACTTCAAGAGCTTCAGGGTCAGCCCCAGGAGCTAACTCAACTGCATTCCATATATGCTTCCAATGTCACAAGGATCGATGGTAAATAAACATATATAAAAGGAAAACATAGAGTAGTAATGTGCCTCAGCTATGACCCTTTTCTTTCTCTGTTTGCAAGTTATTTTATCAACAAATTTGCCTCTTCTAATTAAAAAAAAATCAGCTGGTGGTTTGTTCACTTTTTTCTCGGAAAACGGTAAGGGAGTTCCCTGCTGAAACATATTAATAGATAAAACAAATTTACTATTGTAACAGACTGCAAGGCTTCATTGTCATAAGAAGCCTACACAATCTGGAAACTAAAATAACCAAAACCTAAAACTGAAACCAGCAACAAAAATAAGAACGCTAGAAGAACAAAAAGTGCACAAGAATGCCTTTATTCATCCTAAATAAACTCAATATCTCAGCCAATTAGACAAAGCATCAGCGAACTGTTGAAGCCCCACGGTATTGCACCTAGAACTCTAAGTTAAACCGAAGGAGAAAAGGGCCCAAACCCTGTCAACGACCCGTAGGGCCCGTCCCCACCGTCACCCGCTCCCAGGAACAGGCCAGCGCAACAGCAACTAACAGGGAGCCAGCGAGGGGCCTTTTTTTTGGTTCCACAAATCATTGGAGCCACCTGGGTTCGAGCCCTGGCTGGCAGCTCCTTCACTCGGGAGCCAACCGTTACGCTATACGAGAGTTTGCGCCTCTTCTAATTACAACTGTAGCAAGAAGCCAACAAATCTAGCTGGTAGCTTTTGCCAAATTCCATGCGATTTTAATGAAATCTGACTTTTTCGTCTAGAGATAGAAAAAGAAACAAGAAATACATACTGATTGCAGTAATGATTTTAGCACCATATATTTTTAATGAGAAAAAAAGAGGTACGCAGTTGTATACGACACATCCACCATCTATCGCACCAGCTATATAAAAACGTGTTAAAACTAATCCTATACCCTGTGAATACGATAAACTTCTATTAGTTTCATGTTTGGCAAGTCGGCATAAGATCAATAACCCCCTTAAATTTTCAAAGTATAAGGCCATACCCCCATTAGGGCTCCACGAATCCAGATTTTAGGCGGTTTGCCAAGCATAGTATGACCTTGCGACAATCGTTGACCATGAAAGGCTTTCTGCAAGTCAGCGGGTTGTGGCTCGATTTTCTAACTCGTATTTGCTCACCCATAACCACCATTTAAGATCCATATCCCTTTTCACCGATTGAAAGCCACAAATGCGAAAAGGCACAGAGCAACACAACACAATGACATCGCTAGCCTGCACAAGTGACAAGTAAATGTATCACAAGGACCGTGAGCGCAGATTCCATTTTCAGCCGGATCCATGGCATGGCCTCATAACATGCAAACAACCGGAGATTAATAAGTGGCATGTGCACATGAACCGTCTGATCAGCCGACGTCCCCTCAGCAAACCTCCACTTCCTAAACAAACCTATAAATGCAACTTTCTAACTCGTACATGTTCGCCGATAACCCCCATTTAAGATCCATATGCATTTTCACCAATTGAAAGCCACAAATGCGAAAAGGCACGGAGCAACACGACACAATGACATTGCTAGCCTGCGCAAGTGCCAAATAAATGTACCACGAGGACCGTGACCGCAGATTCCATTTTCAGCCGGATGCGTGGTATGACCTCATAACACGGTACCACGTGCCCGATAAGGCAAACAGATGGAGATTAACAAGTGGCATGTGCACATGAACCGTCTAACCGGCCAGCGTCCCCTCGACAAGCCTCCGCTTCCTAAAGAAGCCTATAATTACCACTTTGAGCAATGCAATCTGGCCATACGCATGAATATCAGCGGTATCACACCAAACAGAGCCCAATTCCAACATCGTGAATTCTAGTTAGTTAAACTGCCTGACAAAGGCCACACGATCCGAAATCGAGCCAGGCTACCTAGTCGGCGTGGCTACCTGAACCCTAGCATATCAGAATCGGTTGGCCTGGCCGCCGCAGGCGATCCGATCCCCTCCCGCTCAGGAAGCAAGCCACGCATCAATCTATCAGCGTGGGAAGCTAATCGAAACGACGGTGCAAGCTCCGGCAGCGGCGGGCAAAGGTAGAGGGGGGCGGGGAACCGGGTCCGGGAGGGGGGAGGGGGGGCGGTGGCGGTGCTGACCGGAGTTGAGGAAGTCGAGGAAGGAGAGGACGATGCGGCGCGAGACGGGGGAGTCCGACCGGGTCATGTTCCCCATTCCCCCGCCGGGTCGGGCCGGAGCGGGCGGCGGCGGCGGAGGCGACGGCGACGGATGCGCGCAGTGGAGCGGAGAAGTCAGATGGCTGACGGGAGACGGGGATGGGAAGGCAGTTAGATTCGGGGGTTGGGCCGAGGACGGCACAGACTGGACTGGGCTTTCGGTGACCCGTCCAAGGCAGCCCAGCCAAGAAAAAAAGAGAGACTAAAGTGCCTCAAATAACTCTTTTTTAACACTCATACATACGCACATACACCTCTTGAGGTCAATGAACCCCCAAAAAAGAGATCAATGAAAGGCGCCTATGGCGTCATCACCTTGTTCAAAAAAAAAATCATACGCACATACACCTTATCCTATGAGCACCTCCGATAAGACTGAGCCGACACTTCATCTTGAGACTGATGAAGTTGCCACAGAGTGAAACGACGAGCTCAGGCGTGTATTTTTTTTTAAAATGGTGTTTAAAAGAGAAATGGTGATCTAAACGGGGCATAAGACCTGAACTCTGGTGAACTGGAGATATATCAATATCCTCCTAACTATATAGCCACATATTGGTTCGCGTGCCTCGAGGATTTTGGGATGATCAACTTGAGCGTGTGCAAGAGGGAAGCAAACGAAGTTGTTGGTTGTAATGCTAAATCTTGTTCTAGTTCCAGATCTCCGTCTTTTTGGGATGACACTGCCCTGATTTTATTTATTCACTGATTGACTGATTGTAAACGATTTGGCTGTCTTTTGATAAATAAAGTCATTTTCTTGTAAAAAGAAAAGTGAAAGTGAATCGAAACATGGAAATTCTGCAAATATTTTTTTCTGAAACGGAGCGCATGTTGTTTTTAGCATCTGAACAGCATATCATTCACAGAACTTCCTTTATTTAGCATCTCTGTTTTTCGGCTTTTCAGGTCGGGCCTTCAGGCCCAAATGGGGCCCGAGCCCGGTTCAACTGTTGGGCTTCGTCGACGGGCCATGTCAGCCCATGTCCTGGGCCATTTCACGTTAACCCAGCCCATCTTCTTCTAGTGGATTTGGGTCTGCTTCTTCCGGTCTTCCCCAGCCCAACTACCCACCAAAATCCTTGTCCTCCACAGCCACGAAAACCTCCTCCGAGGGTTCGCGCCGCCGCCGCCGCCGCCGCTCACGCCCTCCTGCCGGCGCTGTCCGCCCTGCTCCCCCAACCTACAAGCTTCGGAAAGCCCCATCCTCCCGCGAGCAGCCCAGCCCGTACCGACCTCCCCGCGCCACGCCATGGCGAGCTCCGGCGAGGAACGGGGCGTGGTGGTGGACATCCGCTCCGCGGCGGAGTCGGCGGGCGACGACGGCGCGCGCGACGCGCCGCTCCACGTCGTCGAGTCCCTCTGCATGCGCTGCGGCGAGAACGTGAGAGCCTCTCGACCCCTTTTTTTCCCCTTCCCACCGTTTGTGAGTTCCTCAGGGGCTGGCTGACGTTTGTGAGTTGTGATTTGCTGTGGTTATTAGGGCACGACGAGGATACTGCTGACTCTGATCCCGCACTTCCGGGAGGTGAGCTACAGCTACTACTCTTCTCTCTGTGTCTGGAGAAAGCTGCCTGTTCTGACTTGGGATGTGTTCTGAAACTGCCTCTGTAAAAACCTGCAGGTTGTTCTGATGGCTTTCGAGTGCCCGCATTGCAGCGAAAGGTAACACGGCGTCCATGTCGCGGCACACATGTACTAAAATTGTTGCATTTTTTATACTAGTGTAAACAAAGTCTAACTCTGGTGTGCCGGTGTGCTAGGAACAACGAGATTCAGTTTGCAGGGCAGCTCCAGCCCAAGGGATGCTGCTACACCTTGAAAGTCCCCAAGGGGCAGCCTGAGGTATCTCTTTCTTTCTTGTCTTGTCTTTTTGTTGACTGAGACAGCATAGGGTGTAGATTTCATAATAAAGAAGTATGTCTTACAAACTGTACATATCCAAGCTGGATAAAAGAGAGAACAAAGAAAAATGAACTTAAACAAACAGATTAAGAAACCAGTCAAGTAGAGGTTGAGCTAAACTACCAAACACATCTTCACTCAAATGGCGAAGCTGTAGGTTACTTTGAAAGTGAACTTTCCAGCAAGCAAATGATGGCTGCTGTCCTTGAAAGATGAACCCGCTCCTTTCCTTCCAAATATTCCAGGAGGCACATGGCACGTTGGTACTATACCCACGAAACAAAGGCCAACAAAGTGCTGAGAAGCAGAACCGAGGCATGGGGCAATTGGCCTGTGAAGGCCCCAATGAACGCGTAGAAATCACATGCAAAATCACAGCCAGAAAAATGATCACGAGTTTCCAGGACGTTAGTAGGATGTAAATCACGCTTGCGACCCTGAATCAAGCTGCCACTGTCAACGGAGCATCATACCACTCGTGTTCAGGCGGAGTAACTACCTTCACTTTTTTTTAAACAATTAGATTTCCAAATACTTCTCAGGGCTAGGTCTGATGGTACTCTTTCAAACAAAAAATCTGTAGAACCTGTCCACCAAAAAATAGTGAGAAGTTGCCAAGCAAATTTTCTAGTATCATTCTGATCTAGCGCGTGAATAACAGAGTCACGTAGCTGGATAACAAGCGGAAGCTCTCCTCACATGCTTGAACTGAAAGGGACAAAGCTAAGAGAGTATGTAAGTGCACAGTAGCTAAGAATTCTTGAACTGTGGCATCTTGATTGAGGACGAAAAAATAGGCAGTTAAACTTGTCAGCCAGTATCTCTCGGTTGGACCAAAAATCTTTCCAAAGCAAGATAGAAGCTCCATCACTTGGGATTTAGTGAGTAATACTGTGGTAGATCCGTAGATATCTTAAACGCCAATAGCATTCCTCCACCAAGATAAACCTGAGCATGATGGGCATCAGGTCCATATAGCAATCGGATCAACTTTACCCACGGCACATTCTCAATTTCTCATTGCAGAAAATTTGTGAAGTTTGTTCTAGGGCATCGCTTCTTTAATAGATACACATACTTGTCTATTCCGACCACAAAACATGATCTTGTTTGATACTCCAAATGATTGAAATGGTACATTGTTTTAATGTTACAACTTGCACCTGAAAAGTTGTTTGCTGTTGTATTTCATATGTTCTTCCCTGCAACGTGTCCCAGTTCACCAGTTAATTGCCACCACATTTATGTTAATTGATTATAAGCTCACTGTATCATTCATTATTATCTGCGTATATCTTGCACTGTACTTGTGATGTGTTATTATTGCTGTGATCTCTATCACTGAACCACCTTCTTCCGTACCTCACTGCACTAACAGTTGTGAGCCTCAGTTCACGTTTAAATCCATATGCATTTGGCTTCCTATCCATATTCATGTCACTGACAAGCTGTTTTGGCACAGATACTGAACCGCCAAGTTGTGAAATCTGATTCAGCAACTATTAAGGTAATGCTGATCCGTGCACTTGTTAATGTATTTGTGCTATACACATATTCACTGTGTTTTATGTACTTTTACACTTTGACTTATATGCAGATTCCAGAACTAGACTTTGAGATCCCTCCAGAAGCTCAACGTGGAACACTTTCAACAGTATGCTTCATCGTTTTCTGTATATAATTCTGGGGAGATGGTTCCTTCTAAATTATATTTTCCTTTATTGTTAGTTACTTAGTTTTTTTATCGCATATTAGGTGGAAGGGAGCATTATGCGAGCTGTTAGTGAGTTGCAAGCACTTCAGGATGAAAGAAAGGTGAAGCTTGTGGCTTGCCTACTGAGTTTTTCAATTACAATTGAGCCACCCAGTGATACACTAATTTCTTTTGGTACCTGCAGAAAGTGGATCCTCAAAAGGCTGAAGCTATTGAACAGTTCTTAGTAAAATTGAGATCTCTTGGATCAGGGGAAGCTGCTTTTACCTTTATTCTTGATGATGCTTCTGGTAACAGCTTCATCGAGAACCCGTAAGTTTTTTGTAGCCTTCAGAGTTCATATTATTTGAGATTAGAATACTTGGAATCTTGAAATTGCTTTGTCATGAAAGAATAGTTCTAACTTCTAAGCATATCTGTACTTCAAACTACTTTTGTTTCTTCTTTCTCATCAAATAATAGAAACGGTCGTAAAAGTAAAGATAAATACTAAAACAGAAAATTGTGAATGATATCCAAGGGAATATGGGTAAGGCATGTGTGTTTAAAACTGTAAATTTGGATTATTATATATTAATTATGAAATTCAACTAATCTGTAAATAAATTATGGGATGTAGAAATTATTTATCATTAAATAATTCCTTGATTTTCCCACTGTTATCTACATTTCCCATGTAGGCGCCACATCAACTAAACAAAACATGTGCCACACATGTCAGCCAAAAAATCTGCGTAGTCAACTGAGGGGTGTGGAGTAAATTCCTTTCATATTTGAGGGTTGCAATTCAAATGGTCTTTAGAGTTCAGGGTAGAGAAATGTACTTTGGCAAGAGCACAGAGTTTCAATCTTCATTCAGCAATCTGCACAACCTATAGTAGTTTGAGTGACGGCTTATGGTGCACATAGCTGATAGCTCCACACACACATTAAGTACTTGCAATTGGACATATATTAATCTATCTGCCTATATCAACAGGAATGCACCTTCATCAGATCCTTTGTTATCTTTGAGATTCTATGAGAGGACATATGAACAACAAGCAGCACTCGGTTTTCTTGCTGAACCAACCAAAGAATCTGGAGACTCTTCTCAGGATGCTTCAACAGTGGAAGGAAACTCTGGTGGGCCGCAAAGGATTCCACATGGTTCAGTTGGAGCTGTTGCAGGTCGCCGTGCTATAGCTCAGGGAAACTCTGATGAAATTACTGCAGCACTGTGTAGATATTCAGCACCAGAAGAGGTACATCTGTTCAGTCGCCTAATAATCATATCAACAATTAAGATCTCTTATGGCTTACAAAATTTACTTGGGCAGGTTGATACTTTACCATCAACATGTGCGGCCTGTGCTACTGAGTGTGTCACACGATTCTTTTCTACAAGTATCCTTTGCACCTTAAATTCAATCTCGGAAATAGACTAGTGTTTTGGTTCTGGTAGCTTTGTTTATGTGATCAATCCTACTATATGGAGGTGCAATGCTGCAAGTAATCAGTATTTACTAGTGTCTGATCCTTAACCTTTGGTAGAAATCCCATATTTTCGAGAGGTGATTGTTATGGCTACATCATGTGATGCGTGTGGCTATCGCAACTCAGAGGTCAGTTCCAGTGTCATATTTGATTGTTTTTTTTTCATATAAAAAGAACTGGATTTACCAGTGTTGTACTTGGTCACACTTCTGAACTAAAAAATGCCACTGTCTCGTTAACCAGTTGAAGCCTGGTGGTGAAATCCCAGCTAAAGGAAAGAAAACAACACTGATTGTGCGAAATGTAAAAGATCTTAGTCGTGATGTCATAAAGGTTAGAAATTTACTCTTTCCCATTCTCTCATTCTCTCTCATGCAAATCTTTTACTCCCTCCGTTCCTAAATACTTGTCTTTCTAGGCATTTTAACAAGTGACTACATACGGAGCAAAATGAGTGAATCTACACTCTAAAATATGTCTACATACATCCGTATGTAGTAGTCATTTAAAATGTCTAGAAAGACAAATATTTAGGAACGGAGGGAGTAGTTTTCATATATGTGCATTAGATTAATGATTATACATATGTAATGGGGAACATTAGTGTTACTTCTTTCTGTCTTACCCCTTGTAAGTTTCTTCTTCAATTGAGCTGGTAGTTGTTTAGTTATGACTCAGCTGTTTTGGACTAGATAACCTGGAGCTTTTAGCAGTGAATACAGTTTAACTTGGTGATACTTGTGTAATTAAGGAACATGATGTGTGTTAGGTTGAATCTTACTACAGTTTCTTCATACCAAAATGGATGAATAGGCTCCACTATCCATTATTTAGCAAAACCAAAAAGGATGTTCAGACTTGTTGCAATATCTCATATGTAACTTAGTTGATTCAGACCTCTTAATTTTTTCAGTCAGATTCAGCAGCAGTTAGTGTACCTGAACTTGAGTTGGAGCTGTCAAGCGGAACACTGGGTGGCATTGTGACAACAGTTGAAGGTTTAATTGTGAAAATATGCGAGGGTATGTTCGCCACTTATATGCTCATGCCTCCTCTGTTTATGGGACCAAAATTGACTGCAAGAACCATGCTAGTTCTAGTCAAAGGTGTGTCTTCCAGTATTTTTTGTTGTAGCTTGTATGAGATGGAAGTATCTCAAAGGTAAGTTGCATAGTTGATGTTCCTCTCATAGCTAGACGTAGGCCCATCTCTTTTGCCAACAGCTTAACAGTATATGACCAGGCAGAAATTTATTCGAAATATTGTGGCACATGTATGTTTGTTACTCTCTGCACTTTCAGTTATGCATATACATTAGATTTAGAGGAAGCTTTTAAAAAAAATTGAAGTTTGTGGAAGCTTTTGTGTTCCAACAGAGTTTGTGCAACTTACGTCGATATGAAGTACACCAGAATACGATGTGATAGTTAGAATTGTTATGGGTACAAATTTCCTCCTGAAACTCAAATATATGCATCTTTTTGGGCTTACAGCACTGGAGCGAGTTCATGGATTCCAGTTGGGTGACAGCACATATGAATGGAAGAAGAAGAAATGGGATGGTTTCACAGAGAGATTAGCAAAGGTTGGTATTTTTTTCCTTTTGATATGTTGAACATTGTTGCTGTAGCAAGGTTCTATTTCACCTAATCTTCAGAATATAATAAAGCACACATCAGTTCTTGAGCAAAGGTATACTTGTGAAAGTCTTCGCTGTCTGGCAGCGTTGTTTTCTTGGTAAACACGGAGCAAATCGTTTTTTTCAAATTACTGTCCAGAATTGAATGTAATTATTACTAACATGTGGAAAATAACCTGCTGTTTTGGGTGTCCCTTTTCAGCATAGGTGTCGAAGGATGTCATGAGTTAATCTGTTAATGATTTCCTTCAATTTGTTACATACATATTTTAATGTGTATCTGTATATTTCAGCTTCTAAATCTAGAAGAGCCATGGACTTTAATTCTTGATGATGCATTGGCAGCTTCGTTTATTGCTCCAGCGACAGATTCGCTAGAAGATGACAAACAGCTAACAAGTAAGATGACAAACAGCTAACAAGAAATGATACTGCTCGTTTTAAACTTTTTGTTCTGTTTTGCCTACACAATGATTTACCCATTGCTTTGAATTGCCGAAAAATATTTACTAATATTCCTGTACCTGCTTGTGTGTGAATTGACTTGCAGTTGAGGAGTATGAGAGGAGCTGGGAGCAAAACGAGGAGCTGGGCTTGAATGACATGGACACGTCCTCTGCGGATATGGCTTACAACACGACGAGCACGTCATAATCGATATTGGTTTAGTCTTCTCGTTGTGCACAATGTTGTAACCTGTAATTTGAAATTTGGTACTCCGTGGTGTATTCAATTTTTATTTTACGAATGAACCTAATCAATAGGTGGTATGGAGATGGTTTCAACTATATAGTTTATTTGTTCACCTTGGCAAAGACGTTGGTTCAATCGTGCAACACTTGTATTCTTGAAGGCTGCAGGTCAACTTTTTTTTTTCAGTATAAAAAATATGCTGCAATGAAAATATATACCCAGTAGAAGTAGCTGAATGGAGAAATAGTCTGATACTACGGCAGTAGTACAAATCGACATGAGATGATGATTTGGAAGGCAGCAGATTCCGATGACCTGATTTTCAACAAATTTTTCTTCCAAGGCAGCAATTTTCTCTGTAGTCCCGATTTTGTTTCTCAACTCCTCATTAACTTTCCTTTTGCTTCTGCTTGCTGTTTAAACTTTGTTTCTGCCGATGAAGCTGAAAAAATAAAACTCAGCAGGAGTGGTAAGAGGATATCTCATTACTGTTGATTACTTTGCCATCCTGATAGAATTGAACCCACTACTTTTATAGTCTATCTTAGGAACTTCATGAATCACTGATTGCAGCTGATCATTATACCAGATCAATTAGAGTAAATTGGGTTACTCTAATGATGATTTACTCTAGTATGAGTCGAGAGAGCGTTTTCACTCTGCCGTAAGGTTATCCCACGACACTTTAGGCCTCGCGATCATGGCGGAGGCGGTGCAGTGAGGAGGGGCGGAAGCAAAGGTGGTACGGTGTGGACCGTGTCAGGCATGGACAATTATAAAATAGCGATCACCTGCCTCAGAGTGGGTTTCTCCAACACACCTGTTTTTTTAATGCCGACAGGCGGACGAACGGGTAGCCGGTGTAAATGCGGTAGATAGCCATCCTGTCATGTCCAGTCACGCCGCGGGTCAGCATGAATGCGGCGCTGACGGCATGAATGCACGGCAACCGCTTGGCGTGAGAGAGGGAGCGGACGCGGGAGAGGTTTTGTGTGGATCAGGGG